GCAGACGTTTCATTACCAAACTAGGTAGCATCATCAGTGCTAGAAGGGAGTGGGGTTTGCTCTCAGTTTATATTTTAGGGGCTTATCCTGGGGTGGTCTTAGAAGTTCTTTGCTCGGGCTGTTTACTGTTGGCTTCTTTGGCAGTTTGTTGATTGGGTCTTTGATTACTTAATTGTTGGCCTGATGTTAATCTTAGATTTAATCTGTGCTGATTTGGGTGCCGATTGCTGGTGGAGAGATGCTTGGATCTTTTTGTTCCCTTTTGGGCTGGGTGATTGTCCCTTTAGCATAGTCTATAGATATTGTGTATGTCTATATGTCTATTGATGGCTGATTTGTCAGAGTGCCAGGCTTCTAGAAATTCCCTGGTGTTTTGGGACTTGGCTTTTGGTAGGGAGTTCTACCCATAATTGATTTCCAGGATCTGCTGATACAGGTGGCTATGGGTGAGTCAACTAGTTAGTATATTTTTTTATAGGCTGACAAGATGCAAAAATAAGCAGGAAGTTGCTAGTTCATTTTTTAAAAGCTGCTGCTTTTAGAGAACACTAATTATATTAAGTGCAATATATTAGACTATAACTAGACTGCTTCTGATGCCCTGCCGGCTTATGGCATCCTTTTGAACTGTGTTTATTTGCCAAATGCATAAAATTTAACTTGCATTGTTTGGCGTAGAGGTGTTGACCACTCTCAGACAAAAGATAATAGTTTTGGACTTTGCAATAGCAGTGGAATAAAGTCTACTACATGCAATTTTCTACTTGAAGAGCACACATAGGGAAAATTCAGATATTCTACTTCTGCCTTCACTCTTCATATTCCTGGTAACAAGAATTTGCTGTGAGCAGGAATATTAAATTGTGGCTGGCTATTTAGTATGAGCAAATTATGTTCTTTTGTCTATATGCAGTGAAGCTTTCAACTTTATTAGACAAGCTTTCACAGTAAGATAATGCACTTTTCAGATCGAAAAGAATTTTGCTTCTGCCGTTCTTCATATTTAATTTTTTGCTAAGTAAACATTTTTTTTTAATTTCTCACAACCTGCATTCCTGCAGGATTTGGTTTGTGCATTCTACCTGAAACACAGATTGCTTTGCCCAATAGTGCAGAGTAATTCAGCTTTTGCTTCAACCTGGAACCTTTTCTGTTTCACATTTGAATGCCCTGTAATCTTCGAGGATGCCTCAGGTTGCTTTCCAGCTGCTTCTTTTATAATTTAAGAACTCTGATACCGGTAGTCTTCGACTTAAAACAATTCATTTAGTGGCCATTCAAAGTTATCACGGCATTGACGCATCCCCAGGATCACGTGGTTTACATTTGGATGCTTGACAGCTGACTCCTATTTACGACGGTCGGAGTGTCCCCGGATCACGTCTTCTTCCCCTTTTGCAACTTTCTGACAAGTAAAGTCGATGGGGAAGCCAGATTCTCTTAATAACGGTGTGCATGAAAGGACATAAAATGGGGCAAAATTCATTTAACAACTGTCTGGCTTAGCAATAGGAACATTGAGCTCAATCGTAAATCTTGCAGCTGATGAGAAGTTCCACAGATGTCTGTCCTCTTCATATTGATCCTGCAGATTGACCCCCAGGACAAGATTGAGTCCCCTTAATCAAGAAATACATTTAAAACACCATTTCTTGTTCAGAACCTCTGGCTGAACTCAGGAAAAGAAACCCTTACTCTCAATAAAACGAAGACATGCCTTTTGTTCATCTTCTTAATTAATTTCTGAGCCGATGTAATTTTCAAGCTGTCCTTCCACATTTTTCTGAAATGACTGCTGACTCTGGTTTGAATAATTCCCGTGGATTGAGTCAATGGCACGCACACAGACACACACAGAATACAGGCACATGGACTTATGTCATGATTTTGGACAGTTTCATCCATTTCTGCTGAACGCTCTTGTCTTTTCTTGACATCTCAATATCGCATTTTCTGATGGTTATTTCTCGCTTACGTTCGGAATGTGTTTTAGGCCTGTCTCAGGCTGTAATTGACCCATCTACGTTCATATAGTGCTCAAGATCCAGTCTATTTTTTTCTTCTCAGTGAGAATGTTTTATTTTTATTTTTTTTCTGTAAGGCTTGATGTGTTCTGATGAAATGGTCTTCTGCGTTGTGAACCACCTGGACTAGTTCTGAGCGTGACGATATCTAAATAGGGATATATATTCAGAAGAAAAATCTCCGCTGAGTTTTAGGATCATAAGTTAGGTTAGCAAGTTGAAAAGACATCCCGAGGCGACTGTCTGAATTTGGATCACGTGACCACGGGGTAATAAGTGGCTCCTAAGCCACTTTATGTAGTGATGTAGTGATGTTGTAACTTAGAACGGGCACTAAATGAACTGTGGTAAGTTGAGGGCTACCTGTAAATTTGTTTATAAGACAGGCTAGGATTTGGAAAAGGAAAGGAAGATTTTGGGAACTATCGCTTTAGCCTGGGCTTAAGACTTTATAGAGGATTATAAATGCATTTGCACACCAGTTTAGGCTAGCCCCTTCTCCTTTTTATGATCCCTGGATTTAGGTTCCTCAAGAACAAAGTTAAGTTTGAATGTGTGTGCCGGATGTTTATTAATAGGCAAAAACTTATCAGAACCAGAGCAGGAGGGCACATGTTTTAACTTGTGTTATCACATGCTTCTGTTTGCTTGAGATACAGCCTAAGAGGTTCAGGCCGACTTGATCTGCTACCCTGGGGTTTGTTTACTCAGAAGTAAGCCAGCATGCAGGGTGGCTTTTTGCCAGATCAGCTGGCACTGAGCGGTACTTCCAGAAGGGAAGCTGGAATCCTTGTTGTATCTGTAAGCAGATGATATCTGCAAAGCCGGTTTCCCACGTGGAAGTGAGGCTAGGCAGAGAAGAATCGCCATCAAAAGGAGCAGATCTGAAAGGTAATTTGGATATCAAACCTGTCATTTCATTAGCAGACTTGAGAACTGACGCCACACCTCTGCAACCGTATTTCCATTTAGGCCTCTAAATAAAGACTTCCACAATCCTTATTGTATTCCCTTGTAATAATCACGTGCAATCATCTGTCATTTAAATGTGCAAAGAGTCAGGCAGCCTAGTCAAGGCAATTCCGTCGTTTCCTGTCCATTTGGAGCTTTATCTGTTTTATTTTCATTTTTTGCTTATCCTCATTTGTCAGAGAAGAGGGAGAGATGTAGGTGAGGGTTGACTGTAAAAGCAAGAAAATGTATTGGCAGGCTACCAGGAAAGATTTGAGGGAGTCAGAATGTAAGCACTGCCTCCTGACCTTGACTATCTTCTAGACCATGTCTAGCCTCTCTTCCTTGTTTTTAGCAAAATCTCAGATTTTTAGGATTTTTAATTTCAGCGAATGCTTTAATTGTTCTGGATTGGTTTCCGCATTCTTAGATCACTGGAGTTTACGTCTAAATAGATTTCCAGAGCTCTACATGGCGTGTTTAGCCAGCAGTTTTTAAATTATATTTCACTGTTCATTTGAAAAAGAAGGAAACGGCACAAAACACATACGTATCACGTACATTAAAGCTAAACCTAGGTATTTACACTCATTGGTCGAAAGCGAGCTCACGTTACAAGAAGAAAGAAAGGGAAATTAATTGGATAAAGTAGTATCTGCAAATGTCTGAAGTGTTCCTTTCAATGAGTAGAAAATAAGAAAGACGTGTGATCTTTGTATAAACGACAGAATGAACATCCCTCCAGCTACGTTTTATCAATCCTGTTATGTACACACACCATGACAGCTTGTAATAGCCATTACTATTATTACCTGTTAATTTAAGAGTATACAACCATCTGCTGAAACCAGAGACTTCCAACATGAGGTTGACATATGAAATGATTCCACCCCAAAGGAATTTGTTAGGGTACTTCCCTGGCATTTTTAAGCACCCCTGGAACCCATATTTCTCTCTCAAAATGTTCATTAGCCTACAGTATACATTTTGATTCGATCAATAGCGATAGAGGAGAACTACCTGTATGACACATAGATAACCAACAGTTTTCCATTGATGATGATGATGATAATGATAATGATAATGATAATGATAATAATAATAATAATAATAATAATAATAATAATAATAATAATAATAATAATAATAATAATAAAGTTGGAAGGGACCTTGGAGGTCATCTAGTCCAACCCCCTGCTCAGGCAGGAAACCCTATACCATTTCAGACAGATGGCAGTCCAGTCTCTTCTTAAAAACTTCCAGTGTTGGAGTTGATATTCCTTTACATCAGGGGTCTTCAAACTTGGCCCTTTTATGACTTGTGGACTTCAACTCCCAGAATTCCTCAGCCAACGTGCAAACAGCAAGAACAATTTGATCAAGAAACTAGATCTCGGGGCATTGTCCGATCCAGAGATCTTAGTTTGTTGGGAAGTAACAAACCAGGAGACCCATGTTTGATTGAGATACCAGCCCTGAGCTTTTGAGTAAATTGGGATCCCTTAGTATGGTTGCTAAGCAAGGCAGTCGTTAAATGAGTTCTGCCCCATTTTGCGATTGTTAAGCGAATCACTGTGGTTAAGTGAATTGTGCAGTCATTAAGTGAATCTGGCTTCCCCCGTTAATTGCTTGTCAGAAGATCCCAAGGATGGTTGCAAATGAGAATCCCAGGACACCATCGTAAATACATGCCAAGAACCTGAAGTTTGATGCCTTGACTTGTGGGGATGCTGCAACGGTCATAAGTGTGAGAACTGGTCATAAGTCACTTTTTTTCAGTGCTGTTGTAACTTTGAACTGCCATTAAGTAAGTTGAGAACTACCCATATTGACCAGTACCAAGATTGGGAGAATAAGTTAGAAGCAGCCCTTTAATTCTACAGCTTAAATGTTAGTTTAGGATGAAGCTTATTCACAAGCAAGCAGTTGATGCAGTTTAATTACAGGATAATCTTTTGTCCTTTCAGCTATTTTTGCTGTGAAATACCCGACAATCTGAAGAGCGTCTAAAATTTGATCAAAGGAGTTTATTATTAATAGGTAAGTTTATATAGATCCTTAATGCCCAGCAATGTTTTCCTTTTCCAGAATTGCATTTTTTTAAAAAAATCCAGCTAATTATTTTGCATCCCTTTGTTGCCAGTTGCTTATCTTGTTTAACTTTCTGTGTATTTATTTATTTTTAATTGTTAGATTCTGCCTGTAGACTATAGTGGAAGTGTGATGAAAGGGCACAATAAAAATAAAAAAAAAATAGTTTTCTTAACCTTTCAAATAGTTGTGCTGAATTGTTCAATGGTATTTAGTACCAGCACTTAGACTTATGTACCGCTTCACAATGCTTTACAGCCTTCTCTAAGCGGTTTACAGAGTCAGTACATTGCCCCCCAACAATCTGGGTCCTCATTTTACTGACTTCGGAAGGTTGGAAGGCTAAGTCAACCTTGAGCTAGTCAGGATCGAACTCCTGGCTGTGGGCAGAGTCAGCCTGCAATACTGCATTCTAACCACTGCACCACCAGGGCTCATATAGCAGTAGAATGTTAATATTGCTATTGTATTTCAAAAGGGTAGCTCCCTCTCCTCCTTTTCTTCCAGCACTTATTTGTCCACAAATTGTGCATTTTTAATATGATTAGGAAAGCAGCAATCTGGACCAGTAATTAATTCTTCCCTTTTGCTCCTTAACCAAACCAGTTTTGTGTGGAACCTTGATTTCATTAAGTCCCTAATTAGGGAAGATCCATACAGACTATGCATATAAATTTCTCTCTCCTTCCATCCTGTCTCTTAGTCAGCACCGACCTGAATTTCTCCCTGGCCTTGAATTTTTTATCCCGTCTTTATTATTTTTATACTCCTTCCTCCTCCTGTTTTCCCTACAAGAACCACCCTGTGAGGTGAGTTGGGCTGAGAGAGAGAGAGAGAGATTGGCCCAAAATCACCAGCCAGCTTTCGTGCCTAAGGCAGGACTAGAACTCACCGTCTCCTGGAGATTGGCCCAAAATTATCCAGCTGGCTTTCGTGCCTAAGCACTAAGCCAAAATCCAACAAGCTACCTTACACTTTACCATCTTCAAGAAATCAGATCAGAAACTTCAAAAAAAGGAATGTTATTGGAACTCATCCTTTCACTGAACGCTTCCTAAGTCTGACATATAAAACTAATGACCCACCTGTAAAACAATTGTCTTTGGGTTGACTTTGCTTTCTGATGCCATATTAAACAACAGTATTCATGATTTCCCAGTTGTGACTTTGCTGACTTTGTAGATTCAGCAGTATTAGAGGTCACTGGATCTCTACACCCTTGTTAGAATTGTGGTATCAGCAACATTAAAATTTAATGGAACATTACAGTAGTTGGACTTAATGAATAAATGCATTGTCCAGAATGCAAGGAGCTGTTTTAGGTGTGCCCAGGAAATGAAATGCATTTTGTTTTTACTTTTAGCCTTTGAACAGCAGACTCCTATACTGTATGGCATTTGACCACCAAAAAGATTTAAAAGGGAATTCCTTCATAGCAGAGGAGACAGTTGAGAAACAAGTCAGATCTGTGGTTGAATAAATTATCACCAAGCTTTAAAGGCATTATGCAAATCATTTTTTCAGAACAGGTCCAGTGAGTCAGATTCAAATTTGAACTGTGGGTTTTTAAAATTTTGATTTTTTTTTTACTTAAGATTATATGTTAATTTTAAGGATGTCTTTCTCCTTTTGTTACACATAGCCACTTTGGCAAGAGTCTTGAGTTGAAATGTAGTCTATAAATATTTTAAACAAAACATAATGCAATTGGTAATGCCTGCCTCTAAATTTTATCACTAGAATTCTACCTATGTCTTTTTTGGTCTCTGGGGCGATTCTAGTATTTCTGATACTGTAATATTTATTGGCAAATAATAAATGTATTGCTCTCAATATCCACCCTATAATTTTTGTCTTCCAGATCTTTCCATGATATATAGCGCTGCAGAACTTGAAAGCAAGGGTGAGGACCTTGCCTTGCAACTCGGCTCTGTCATGGTACGTGCACAGATCCTTCAGGGCTGAGAAAAAGAAAAGACAGTGGAACCACAGGAATACTAAGCATGGCAACCCTTAGGTCAGGGGTAGGCAACCTTGGCTCTTTTATGACTCGCGGACTTCAACTCCCAGAATTGGGTCTGGTTTCGTGCGCTGCCTGCATCCCACGGATGGGGCTTTGCTTGTTTGCACAGACCGGTTTCTTGCATGCCATGGACCAGATTGGGGACCCCTGGACTAGAAGACCCCCAAAGTCCTTTCCAACCGTGACACTTTATGAAGAAGCTTCTTGGATGAGAAGCGAAACGTCTTCCAAGAAAAACAAAGTCCAGTTGCCTCTTGAAAAAAAAAAACACCTTTGAGACTGGATACTTTACATTCTGTGTCCTCAAAGGTTTGACAGAGGAACAGAGTTTCAGAATGTGGTGACTAAGAATGAATCTTTGTGATTATTCAGGTGGTAAAAAAATGTAACTAGCATGTACAAGTCTATTGGCATGAACACAATCCTTGGCTTGACTTCTCAACTTAATAATTCGCAGGATGAAGAGACTCACCACAGCCTTGAATGCATCCAAGCTAATCAGATCTTCCCCAGGAAGCAGCTGATCCGGGAGGATGAAAATCTCCAGGTGATCCCTGGATTCTCCTTTGATCTTGCAGTGGGACCCAGGGGCGGTGTGGGATTTAATCTAGATTAGACAACAGAACTTTGGGGTGCCTTGCTTAGCAATGGAAATCTGGGACTCGAGTGCAGTCGTAAATCGAGGACTACCTATATTGATAATCAGGTGGGTCCTGGAGCTAGTCTGAGGCCGAGGACAAAGTATTTGGACCATTTGAGGCCCACGGGCACCACGTTGCAGATGGGCCCTGCTCCTTACAGCCTCTGCAGCATCATCCAGTTTGCCAAGACACACAGGACTATGGGGTCAGGTGCCAGCTTACATAGAAATGCCCCTGCCCCTTGGGTTCCTGTTTCAGAACCGTGAAACTCCGCTGTAGGAAATGTTTGCGCAGACACACACAGTTGTGCATTTTGTGGTTTCATCGTTGCCATCTTTCCGAAACGAATCTTTCCACTGTCTCTGCAGGTGCCCTTTCTTGAACTCCATGGAGAGAGCACCGAGTACGTGGGCCGAGCGGATGACGCGGTCATTGCCCTGTCCAACTACAGGCTTCACATCAAATTTAAGGAATCTCTGGTGAACGTAAGTTGTCTCTTCCGAACCGGAAACTTGCTGGCGATGGAAGCCGGAGCTGCACCCGTAGGCCTTTTGTTCAAAACTGAAAATATCTGAAAAGCCAGCTGGTTTGTCTCCCCTGTGATATTTTGGGCAACCTCTTATCATTGGTGGCATTTCAGTTCCTTGCCTGCCAACTCTAGTGTCTCCTGGTTGTGTGTACCAGTGCAGACAGGCATGTGGAATTTTAATTGATTTTACAGGTTCTTGTTCCAAACGGCTGGTTGAGGGCAAGGAAAGCAAAACTGCTGCACTTTATTTTATTATTTTAAAATCCTCATGCATATTCTGCTGCGGAAGCGTGTGAGTTCCCTAGTCAGCTGGCAAGTTAGAACACCTCTCGTCCTCGCAGCTGCACACCTACAAAAGTTTGCTCTTCTTTCTCTCCCATCACAAAGCTCTGACTCATCCCAAAGCTATGACAGGGAGGTGAAATAGAATTAGAATTTATTCGGATTTTTAACTTGGGCCTCGATGCTAACCAATCCCCAACTTCATTGTTCAAGTGAAGCTGTTGAAACATTGCAAGCAGGCTGTGAAGTTCTGCCCTGGCCCAAGCCAATCCTCGAAGTCTCAGGAAGGGCACAAAACCTGGACAATCTTCCTTCATAGCAATAGCAGATTTATATACCGCTTCACGGTGCTCTTACGGCCCTCTCTAAGCAATTTACAGAGTCGGCAATTTGCCCCCAACAATCTGGGTCCTCGTTTTACCAACCTCAGAAGGATGGAAGGCTGAGTCAACCTTGAGCTGGTCAGGATCCTGCTTTGAGCCCTCCTCTTCCCTCCTCACCTGCAGCCCCCCAGCTGACCTGTCATTTCTGGGTTGCTTCGCCTGTTCCCCCAAATTGTCCTAAATTGCATCAATCTTCTTCCTTTATATTTGCACAATGCTGATAGGATGGGTGTGAGACTCAGAAGCCTTTTTTGGGAAATAAAACTGATGCTGGAGATTGGCTCTTTACTGTGTAGCAGGCCTGACAAACATTTTAACCTGTTTTAAATGAAGAGATTTATTTTATTTTTTTTAAAAAGGGAAATTTCAAGCAAGGCAGGAGTCCTGGCAGATGGCCAGACAGGTCTTTGTAGGGATTTTGATAGCCTCAGCTGCCATACTTGGGAGTCTTTGATCTGCTGAAACAAAATAATTGCATTCATTCATTTTAGATTTTTATTTTAGATTTTTTTATCCTGCTTTTTATTATTATTTTTTTATAAATAACCCAAGGCGGCGAAAATACCTAATACTCTTTCCACCTCCAACTTTATCCACAACAATATCCCTGTGAGATGGACTGGGCTGAAAGAGAAGGATTGGTCCAAAGTCACCCACCTGACTTTCATGCCTAAGGCAGGACTAGAACTCACTGTCTCCTGGTTTCTAACCTGGTTCCTTAACCACTACACCAAACTGCCTCTAAATCTATATAGCTCTGGTTTATATCTTAATATTAAACCATGTTTCCGCAGTTTTTTTTCTAGACCCCCATCTTCCATGGCCTGCCTTTACATGATCAGCCATAACCCAAACTTAGCTGTAATCTTTCCCCCCTCTTAAAATGGTCTAGGGTTTCCTGCCTAAGCAGGGGGTCTGACTAGAAGACCCCTAAGATCCACATACAGGACCCTTGTGCTAACCCGATGATGTAGAATTCTGTAATTAAACAGAAATATGTCCGTGTGAAGCCTTGGCCATTCCTCTCTCTTTCGTACGCAGCTGCGAGTTTATTTTCATTTTAGCTGATTCTTGTCTTTGATGTGCAGCTAGCCAGTTGCAAAATTAACCTCCCAGAGAACAAAAATGTTGTTTGTTTAGGAATTGACAGCATTCTAAATAAAGAATGCAATTGCGGCTGACATGAAAGTGAGTTATTGCTTGGCTATGCAAGAGCGAGTGCTTGGAATGGGTACCGTCTCAGACAGTTACGTAATATTAAATGAATTAATACTTTAATATTGCATGGGAATTACTGCAATGAGAAACCTCAGACAGCTACAGCAGAAGATAGTTCTCCAGCACTGGAGACGTAGAATCCACCAATGGGTTAACTCTGCCTTCCTGACAAGTCTTAAAGTTGCCAAGTTTGAAGGCCCCTGGACTAGAAGCCCAGGCTGATTTTTTCAATGGGGTAAAAGAGGGAGGGAAGATAAAACCAGAAGACTTGCAATATTCTGTTGCTATACCCTATCTTTGCATTTCTCAGACCCAGCAACTTTAAGATGCGTGGATTTCAACTCCCAGAATCCCCCAGGCACATCTTAAAAGTTTCTGAGATTGAGCAGCACTGGTCTATTTCAATAAAGTATAGTTATAGCCAAACTGTGGAGATGCTTCATCTAGCCTATCTTAACAGAACATTACAATCAATTTCCTAACCAAGAAAAATGGTTAAGGAATTAAACTATCTGTCTGGAACAGGAGGGTATTCTCCCCTACTAGGGCTATTTAAATACGGCTGGGGATCCATCTAGAAAGACTTCTTGCACTGAGCAGGGAATTAGTTAAAATTATCTCTCTGGCCCCTTCTGACTCTTGCATTCTGCAATTTTATAATGTTTTGATTCTAAGTAGTGCAGCTGCAATTTTCAGTACTCTGGAGAGCTCTTCTCCCCCTTTTTAGGTTTTTTTTTTTTATCAGTGGAGTTAACAAGTGAAATCCTTATTAGGTATGATTATCTTGGCTAGCTTTTATCTCACAGCTTCATTGAAAATGGACCCCCCCGACTCTCTCCTTGTCGATTAGATAGTGTCTCCAATGCAGTGAGCACGAATCTGGGCAAACTCCAGGAGATACTGGAGAACAGGGGGGGCCTGGTGTGCTGTGGTCCATGAGATCGCAAAGAGTCGGACATGACGTAGCAACTGAACAACAAAAACAACTCTCTTCTTGTAATGCTGGATGGAATGTCTATGAGTTTTTGCTTCTGAACACCTTGTCCAGGCAAAAATTAGTCACCCCAAATTCATTTCAGGAAATCCTCAGCTTAACCAACCTTGCTTTAGCAGACTGCCACGGGAAAAACATCTCCCTATGATGTGTTCTTTTGTGGATGCATCAGTTCTCCTTCGTAAGCATAAAAGGTGTGAACACGTGTGACATCCCATTCTGCTTTAATAGACTCCGCTTCCCTCCAATTAGGACACGAGGTTTAACGGGCCCAGTGTTCCATCTGAGTTTGTTAGTGATCTAGCCGATGTAGGTTTATATCCCACGGCCTTTGATTTCTCGCCTAATTTTGTTCTTTCTTTGCAATTCATTAGAATGTCTGTAAATTTGCCGCTTATGAGATCCCAGTAAGTAGAACGTTGCTGTTTAGCATTTGTACTGCCGCACCTTTGCTTGGAATACAGTGAACATGTGCTGACCGTGGCTTGCAGCATAGGCAGGCGTGCATGGATCATGTCAGAGCATGAAGTTCCCTCCTGTATAAATAAATACCTCAGTAAAAGATTCAGTCGACCAAGTGGCCAACTCACGGAATGGTGGTTTCTCTAAAATATTGACACACCCATCTTTTGAAAGCAGTTGCATATTCAACAGGGACGCTTTATGCCTGCATGAAATTTAAGAGGCTTCTCTTTTGATTGCCCAAAAGTTATGCATTTGAACTGGGTTTCATCGTAAGCAAGTCCTGGACACGGTTCACAAAGTTCCAAGGCTTCAGAGTTGAAGTTTAATTAGGCCAATCGGTCTTTCTTCTCCCACTTGGTTTAATTTTGCATCGTTTAATTCCCTTACTCGTGTATTTCCCCCCCCCCAAGTGGCCATTCCCAGCCACAGTCCGCAGCGAGTTCAGAAGCTTTCTCGTGTCTTTAGGAGATTGTTTATTTAATTACAGGCGATCCACATTCCTAGAGATTACACTCTGTGAAATGCCAGGGGTAAGCTTGGCTAGTCCTGCATGCTCATTCATAACCAGTAAGGTAATTGGCACGTAGGTCCCAGTCTTAACGTTTGGAGGAAGCGACCTTACGAAGAGCAGAGAAAAGGGGCCAGGAATAGCAAGTCAAAGAAATTAAAAGGGTAAGATAAGACAAAGAAAAGGGAAACAGAATTAGATCTAGTTTGCACCGCTATCATTGACTATTCTTTTCCAGTCGCTTTTTGCCAAACCTTCCTGACTTCTGCCACACCCATCATACCTTTTGGTTCATTAATCCCACCTCTCTCTTTTGGAGGACCTTGTCAGCTTCATCCAGGGACGACTTTAGGAGGGGTCCTTGGTGCTCTCTGAGCTTAGTTGCTTTCTTGCAGATGTTTTGCTACCTAAACCAGGGGTCCCCAATCCCTGGTCCATGGACCGGCACCAGAAACCGGGCCGTGCAAACAAGCGAAGCCCGATCCTCGGGATGCAGAGAGCACGTGAAATTATGCCCCCTCTTGTCCACGGAGAAATCTCTCTCCACGGAAGTGGTCCCTGGTGCCCAAAAGGTTGGGGGCCACTGACCTAAACTAGGTCACATCATCAGCACTGAAAACAAGCCAGCTCAGAAGACCCCTCATTTCAGCCCTGAGCTACACATGTTCTCCTTTATGGGGGTGACTTTCTTAGTTTCCCCCTTCCTCATGTCCCCTTCCGTTTTAGTTCGTGTACTCTGTGGTTTTGTCTTCCTTCTTTCTCTCGCTTTCAACACACCACCTCCATTCTCACTCATGCTTTTGTCCCGTCGTACAAGCCACTTTGAGGTTCACGTTGGCAGCAATTCCAGCGTATTCTCTTTGTGATAACCTTCCTTCAAATCATCAAACGTGCGTTTCTCACAACCACACATTTCTCAGTGGGGTCCAAAGAGCGAAAAATCCAGTCTGTGTGCACCCCCTGCTCAGCACAGGGCCAGATTCTACTTCCCAAATATTGTCCCTTCTTACATCATCGTAGCTTTATTTTCCCTATTTTGTCTTGTGTGTTTAAATGTGCATTTCTGCAAAAGGCTTTGTAGGTTTCACAGACTCTCAAAGCCCCCCCCCCCAAAGCAATTGAGAAACCCTACCTTACTTACACAACACACACAGACACCAAAAAAGAGAGCAAGGGTGAAATGTTGACTTAAATCAGGGCTCTCCAAACTTGGCAACTTTTAAGACTTGTGGACTACAGCTCCCATGGCTGGTTGGGGAATTCTGGGAGTTGAAGCCCACCTTTTGGGGAAGGGGGTTAAGGTAGGGTTTCTCAATCTTTGGGGGCCAGTTTGAGAGTCTGCGAACCCTAGAAACCCCTTGGCAGAAAAGCACATTTAAATGCATAAAACAAAATGGCAAAAATAAAGCTAGATTTTTTCCCCCCCCATCCAATTCATGGACCTCTTCCAGAGGTCCCCAAGTTGAGAATCTCTGATGCAATCATAGAATTGTTCTAATTGCTGGACGCAGAGGCAATTTTCACGCTGACATTAAATGGTCTTCCTAAGCAAACCACATCCATATTCTCCAGTTACAGCATCTACATCTGCAACCTGTTATTTTCAATTTTCTCCATTTCAATTCCACTTTTTGATATTTCCCTGTCATTCCCATATAAATTTCCAAAATAGTCCTTCCTGTTCGCTTTTATCCTGGCCTACATTTTTTTTAATTTTTTATTATTGTTTTGCTCCGGAAAGTTCCTCTTTTCCCCTTTCCCCGTTTCCAAAGGGTTTATATTTCCCCCCCCTCTAAACAGCCGATTCATTTTATTAAACATTGCATTTTGCTAACAAAATTCAGCAAACGGTTATCGGAGGCTGGCACTAATTATTTACCTGCATGGTGTGTTTTGATTTGGGGTGATTTTCAGCATGAAGATTGCTCGGGGAATGGAGATAACGCTTGACAAAAAGGCGGACTGCAAAGGAGCATGAGATGCCTTTGCTAGGGAGCAAATTCACCATTTTTATGGGGAGTTGTGCATAAAGGAAATTGTTCAGAAGGAGGGAAAGTGAAATGGAGACATTAGTTTTACCTAATTCATCTGTTTTAACCCAAGTTATGAATGTGGAGAGTGGCTTTCCTCTCAGAATCACTTAAATTGGTGCTGATCCTGAAGCCATCGTTCAATGAAGCCGCAGTAACCTACATGAGCCTGGCCACACTTTTGAGTCTTTGGGGGAGCCCCATCACATATCTTTGGAGAAGTCAAGCCAGACATTTGAATATGGGGAAGTTTTGCAAGCACCGTCTCAATTTCTAAAACGCTGCGTCACTTGATCCAAGTGCACTTGGGCTTTCTTAAGAGTTCTCCGAGTAATTTTAAAGGTTAGCGAAACGAGAGCTGCTGAAGAAAGAAAATTGTTGGTTGCGAAGGCGCCTTCTCTCCAGTCTGATGGCAAATGGTGAAGCCGCAGAGGTTACCTGCACGTGGTAATACATTTTATACCAACTGCACGCAAATTATTCTAGCCCTTTGGCTGCAAAGGAGACCAACAGACACGAAGAAAGAATCTGGAACTCAGGAGAAACTTCCTGTCAGTGAGAACAATTAATTAGTGGAACGGAAATTGCCTCCATCGCTGGAGGTTTTTGAGAAGAGACTGGACAGCCACTTATCTGGAATGAATAGAGGGTCTCCTGCTTGAGCACGGGGTCAGACTAGAAGACCTCCAGGGTCCCTTCCAATCCTATGATTCTATGTTCTAAAATAAATCCTGGCTTCACAGGAGAGTTCAGATAACGGGCTTTTGCATAGAAAATCCCTTATTGTTTTTTTTTTTAATCTTAGTGTGATCTGTGTAAAAGGGAGCATAGTGCCCCCTCCCACGTTTGAGAGACATGTACTAAAAGATTTGGAGTTTTACAGTAAAATTGACGCAACCCCATTTCACCAAGGTGGATTTTAGATCAAAATGAGAAGTACGTCCACATGCCACGTTATACTGTCACTTCATGATTTAGCCTTGGATGCTTGCATAATAATGGGAGGGAAATGCTACCAGTAATTGGCAGTGTGAGTAATGTTTCATTCCAGGGCTTCAGTTGTTGTAATAAATCCTTGTGAGAAAATGGTGTTAGCCTTTTGGCGTAAGACGATTGATTGATTGATTGATTGATTGATTGATTTGGAAAATGTATATTGCCTCGAGGTGAAATAAAAACACAAAATAAAATAATATAAAATAATAATAACAACAACAACACCCCCATCCTGGTGACAACACACACTCATGCCAGCCACTCATGGCCTCCGTCCCGCTCCAGGTTCCCCAGGCCCGCTAGCAGAACCGCGTCTTCAGGGCCTTCCTGAAAAAGTGTCAGAGTGGGGGCCGCTCTCATTTCCGGAGGGATGATGTTCCAGAGGGAGGGAGCCCTTCTTCTGGGTCCCCCCAGGTGGACCTCCTTAGGGGACACAACATTCCTTGCCTCCCCGCTCTAGTGGGGAGACGGTCCCTCAGATAACCTCTTATGTCTTTTCCATCACAGGTCCCGTTGCAGCTCATAGAAAGTGTGGAATGCCGGGATATTTTCCAGCTTCACTTGACCTGCAAAGATTGCAAAGTTATCCGGTATGTACGGTCCCAGCACAGCCCGTATTTCGTGTTAGTTAATGCAAGTGTGGCTTTCCCCTCCCTAAAATACATAAATATAATTGCCTTTTGAATCATTACGCATTCGCCTTTAATGGCACGGTTTCCTCCCGGCTCTAGACTTGGTGGTGCCAGCCAAATACTGGCAGAATAATCGCAAAAACGTTTTTAGTTTACCACTGGACGGCCTTGGAATATCAGAAATAACAATAACGATAGAGTTGGAAGGGACCTTGGAGGTCTTCTAGCCCAACCCCCTGCTTTCATTGGCTTTTGCATGGATTGTTTCTTTGTTTGTTGCAGGTGCCAGTTCTCTACTTTTGAGCAGTGTCAAGAGTGGCTGAAGCGGCTGAACAACGCCATCCGCCCCCCCTCCAGGATAGAGGACCTTTTCTCCTTTGCATACCATGCCTGGTGTATGGAGGTGTACGCGAGTGAGAAGGAGCAACATGGGGATCTGTGTCGCCCAGGTAGGTTTGGCCTTTTGCTTGCATAGGACTAGAACCTTTTTTTTTAACAGCAAGCATTACCTAGTACACTATAGGCGGTCCTCGACTTAGCAGCCATTCGTTTGGCAGCCATTCAGAGTTACAATGGCACTGGAAAAAAGTGAATTATGGCCAATCCTCACACTTACAGCCATTGCAGCATCCCAGTGGCCACAGGATCAAAATTCAGGTGCTTGGTGGGGTCATGTGATCACCATTTGCTCATGGCCAGCTGGGGAATTCTGGGAGTTGTAGTCCACAGGTCCAGAGGTCTTAAATAGCAACAGCACTTTGACTTATATAGCGCTTCACCATGCTTTACAGCCCTCTCTAAGCAGCTTACAGAGTCAGCGCCCCCCCCCCCAACAATCTGGGTCCTCATTTTACTGACCTCAGAAGGACGGAAGGCTGAGTCAACCTTGAGCCGGTCAGGATCGACCTCCTGGCAGTCAGCAGAATTACCCTGCAATTCTGCATTCTAACCACTGCGCCAGTGCACGGCTCCTAAAGCCAAGATTGGACACCGCTGGTATAAAGGAATCCTTGAAGTACCACGGTTGAGTTGATGACTCTTGGAAGATAGCCTTGTGCACGAGGTCAAAGGAGAGTTTTGACCTTGTGGAGCGTTCCTGGCTGGATGCAAAGTTGGCATTTGCATTGTGCTTCCTACGTGGCACCATCACATGCCAGGAATTGTTCCCCTTCAGTGGAGCAAATAAGATGCTTGCATGTTTTGTCTTTACAGCAGGGGTGTCCAACCTTGTCAGTTTTAAGACTTATGGACTTCAATTCTCAGAATTCAGCTTCCAGAATTCTGGGAGTTGAAGTCCACCAGTCTTAAAAGTTGTCACGGTTGGACCTCCCTCCTTTGCAGAGAATGGTGTTTGCTCTTAACACAGGATTAACAAGCTTTTCAAAATTCTGAATAGACTTGTGAGTGAAGAGTCAAGGAATGCTCTGCTATTGTTCGGTCACGGGGGAGTATCTCACTCCACAAACCCAGGCACAGTTCCTGTTTGCTTCCCGTTTTCCTTCTGCTATCTAGGAGAGCACGTGACGTCGAGATTCAAAAACGAGGTGGAGCGGATGGGTTTTGACATGAACAATGCCTGGCGGATCTCCAACATCAACGAGAAGTACAAGTAAGCTCTTTAGATGTTCACAGAGGCCATCTGCTCTTGTCAAAGTCCAGCACTTCGGGGCATTTCAGCTGTACATGGACCCGGCTACGAACACATGCCAACGCCGCTCATTATTGGAAGCAACTTGACATTTTTGGAACAGCTTTAAAGTCTCCAAAAGAAGATCGAAGGAACCTGACACTCCGTTGTTGCTGTTCTGTCAAGCTTTTGTAAGCTGATCCATGAAAGATGGACACAACTGTCACTCTATTCTTTCTGGTCTCCAAAAGCTGGGCTTCTGACACCAGCTACATCATACGAGTCCGCCTTTGGCTTCTAGCTGTCATGTGGCTTGTTTTGTTTCAATACGTAACAGAGAGCTCAACCGTGAGTTATGGCTCACCGTAATTCTATTCAATAAATTCTAGATAAGAAACTGTTATTGTACCACAGCAAAAAAACAGAAAATATAACCCCTTTTTCCCAAATGGAAGCTGCATGCCGAGATTGAGGAAGTGAGGCTCCAAAGACTGGGATAGGAAGGAAAAGTTTAGGGTTGTTTATTTTTTTTATGATCATCTATTTATTGAGAAAGAGAAGGAGCCAGTTTGGTCTAGTGGTTAAGACACCAGGAGACGGTGAGTTCTAGTCTTACCTTAGGCATGAAAGCCGGGTGGCTGACTGGATCAATCACGCCTTAACCACGAAAGATAGCTGGGTGACCTTGGGCCAATCATCAGGAGACTCTGAGTTCTAGTCCCGCCTGAAGACAGGAAAGCCAGCTGGGTGACTTTAGGCCAATCACCACGAGACTTGAGAGTTCGAGTCCCGCCTTAGCCACGATGCCTTTTCCCAAAGACATTTACCCCTTTTTCTTCTTAATGTCTAGTGGTGCAAATTTAGCCTTAATTTACAAAAAGAAAAAGCACTTGCTAGATGAACCAGCGAGGGTCACGCCGTGCCTTCTGTTACAGTTGCATCCGCACATTGTGTTTTTATATTTGAAACCGATCGCTGTGTTTTGAAGCCTAACTGGCATAAAACTTAATAATCATCTGGGGGAAAAAAGAAGAAGCAAAAGGTGGCTGGATCCGTCCTCCATACCCTACAAAGTTTTAAGCTGAACATTGATGGATGTGCACAAGCCTCTCTTGCTCTAGCCCAAAAACAAAACGGGGGGCTTAAAAAGCCGCTGAGTTTTACTGTTTATCTGCGTTTCCCTTGCTGCTGTTTCACGGGGGCAGCAGCGTGGAAGGAGAGACGGGATGTGTCTGCTCCACCCGTGGCTGGTCTCTTCTCTTCCACACAGGCTCTGCAGTAGCTACCCTCAAGAACTCATAGTGCCGGTCTGGATAACGGACAAAGAGCTGGAAAGCGTGGCCAATTTCCGATCTTGGAAACGCATCCCTGTGGTGGTTTACAGGTGAGGCCTTTCCCGAGGCACCTTCCTGGCATCCGGAGGATCGGATTTTGCAGGTCGGTTTGCTGAATCTCAGAGAGACTTTTGGCAGATGCCTGTTGCTGTCAAAGTGTACCTCCTTTGAGGATAGAAGGGAGGATATTGATACAGGTGGTCCTCAACTTACAGCCCTTTGTTTAGTGATTGTTCGAAGTTACGACAGCACTGAAAAAAGTGATTTATGATTGGTTGGGGTTTTTTTTGCACTTAACAACCCTTACAGCACCCCCAGGGTCCCCTGATCAAAATTCAGACGCTTCCGGCCATTGGATCAGATTTATGACAGTTGCAAGGTCATCTGATCCCCTTTTGGGAATCCAGATTCACCCAACAACTGCAGTTAACCTCGCAGGTTACGTAAACTCTAGATGAGTCCCTCGGTTCTCTTGTTTTTGAACAAAAGGCAGGTCCAAACTGCTGACATTGCTATTCAGCATTAACTGACGAGTTCTAGATACCTCCGTGTTATTTCACGCTCCTCTGCCAAAGCTGATTCAGGTTTTAGTTTTTGTTTTTCTTTCTCTTTGCATACTTTGTAAATTTTTTATGGCTGGGCTGTTCGTTGGTAGTTCCCCCCCCCCCCCGAAAAACAAGCAAACTCGGATCCTCCTAAGTATTCAGATATGTTTACCAGTTTGATGACTTTGCAGCGTGTTTCCTCACCAGGGTCCACAAAACTGCTTAAATCCCAGTGGAGATTAATTCGTGCTTTTTATCACAAAGGTGGCCGATATTGAGGGTTGTTTCACAGGCCATCAAGTTATTAGACAAACTAAACTGCCTTTGGAATTGTTTCAGAGAGCTTCCTAAGGCTCTAAGTGGCTTTTTCCTCCTCTGTGGCCGTTGCTTCCTGTTATGTGCACATACAACCTGCAGTTAATTCCTGTTTCAACGGCGCTGGGATGATTTTTGTTTCCACGCAGGCACCAGAACAACGGGGCAGTCATTTCTCGCTGTGGGCAGCCCGAGGTCAGCTGGTGGGGCTGGAGAAACGCCGACGACGAACATCTTGTCCAGTCAGTGGCCAAAGCCTGTGCCTCCGATTCCAAGTTGAGCAGCGGTAAACTTATGAATGGGAACTGCTCACGAGAGTTCTCCAATGGGGGAGACTTTTCTGATGCAGAGTTTGGTAAGCATGCTTTGGTAACCTCGCTTTGTGTCCAAAAGGTTAGCTGTCTACGGAATGCAGATGGCCAACATCCACTGAGATCAGCCTTTCCAGGTAGGCCAGACAGGAAACACGGCCGGAGGAGCTGTTTTAGCAGTAGCAACAGCACTTAGACTTATATACCTCTTCACTGGGCTTTCCAGCCCTCTCTAAGCGGTTTACAGAGTCGGCATTATTGTCCCCAACAATCTTGGTCCTCGTTTTACCGACCTCAGAAGATTGGAAGGCTGTGTCAACCCTGAGTCATTGAGAGTTGAACTGTTAGCAGTTAGCAAAGTTAGCCTACAATTCTAACCACTGCGCCACCAGGGCTCTAACTTTCTACTTGTATTGTAAAGCTCCATGAACAGAATCTTGCAAGTGTGGAGGTACAGATCTTCCACCATCCCTTTGATAACCTGATAAGCTGGGAAAGTTTCTTTGTGAGTTTCTTTCTCTGCCCGTCATTATCCAATCTTTCTCTAGGCAGCATCTCTCTTCTCCACCTTTCCCATGTACCTGTGGGAGAGCAGTTGGCTAAGTTGGGAGGGGGCCTCAAAGTGGGAATTAGCCTATATTCAGTACATAAACACGGGGGCAAGATCTGACCACACACACACACACACACACACACACAGAGAGAGAGAGAGAGAGAGAGAGAGAGAGAGACAGAGAGAGAGTCTTTGAGCCTTATTTAGTCTTTCCTCGGTGCAAGTTGCCAGTCTGGGGAGATTCCTGTATTATTGGCACTAAACAATAAAGTAGCTAGTTTGAACTATGGGCGTCTGGATATTTCTGCAAATATCATAGAGCTGCTTCTCCTGTCTGCAATATAAGACAGACTTTCCAAATTAGCCGGACTGCCACTCCTTTTGTTAAACTGGCCCGAAACTCTGGAAATAGCAGCTGTGCACATCTGGAGGACTATAAGGCAGTGTTTTACAACCTCAGCCACTTTAAATGGGGGATTGAAGTCCACCCGTCTTAAAGTAGCCACGATGGAGAAACACTGACAAAATGGGTGAGTGTTAGGCAGAAGGAGATCCGTTTGTGATCGCTACCTTGTAATTCTATTTCTGTTTCGCCTGTTTGTTCTCCAGATTCTTCCATCTCCAATGCTTCCGGAGCAGAAAGCTTAGCCATCCAGCCTCAGAAACTTTTGATCTTAGATGCACGCTCCTACACAGCCGCAGTCGCCAACAGAGCCAAAGGAGGGGGCTGTGAATGTCCAGGTGGGTCTTGCAATTAAATTCTTACCCAGGTGTCGTGCATTTATATACCCAAGGAAGCAGGGAGCGTGTCCGGACTTGGCCCTGCCGGCTTCCGAAAGGTAGTTCAGGAAGAAGGACGCCGCCGTAAAAATGTGGGGATCGCTTTAAGAACAGGAGTCGCCAAACTTGGCAACATGGCTGGCTGAGGAATTCTGGGAGTTGAAGTCTTAAAGCCGCCAAGTTTGGCGCTCCAGAGCAAGGATGATAATTCCTGATTTACAAACTCAGCCGAGTCTCTCAAACAGGGTACGGGCCCCAGCTTGTTGCCAGCTGGTTTACGCAGTAAAGCTTGTAATTCAGTTCTTCCTGGCCTCTTCTGAACCTCTTTCTCTTCTCTCTCTGCTTTCGAACAGAGTACTACCCAAACTGTGAAGTGGTGTTCATGGGAATGGCCAACATCCACTCTATTCGGAAGAGTTTTCAGTCACTGAGGTTGCTCTGCACGCAGATGCCAGACCCGGGAAAGTAAGTGTTCCCCCCCCCACTCGTCCCTTCTTGCCTTAGTGCAGGGGTGTCCAACCGTGGCCACATTAAGATCTGTGGACTTCATCTCCCAGAATTCCCCTGCCAGCATAGTTGCCTGGGGAATTCTGGGAGTTGAAGTCCGCAAGTGGCCAAGGTTGGACATCCCTGTCTTAGTAGATGGTAGGTTTTTTTTTCTCCCCCTCTTAGAAAAAGGAACCTGGATTGTTTGACTTATATTTGAAGAACTGGCAGGTGAAAGGTTTCATTGTCGCAAAAGCCAAGGGGAAGCCCAGTTGTGGTTTTCTCCCTCGTGTTACTTTGCCAAGGTCTGCCTTACCCTTCCTTGAGCCATTTCCCAGATCACACTTAACCAATCAGTTGACTCTTGCCTAAGCAATCCAAAAAGATCTGCCTTGTGGCAGCGTTGTGTGTACCGACTTCCACAATGCTTTTGAGCGTTGTGGGTGTGACTTCCTGCCCTGTTGAGGTTTGCTGTCTTCCCATGTGAAGCAAGTGTGTGCGGGCAGTCCTCAGCGTAAGACCACAGTTTTTGTACTGAGATGAGACTGAAGTGAGTTTTGCCCCGTTTAACGACCTTTCTTGCCACAGTTCTTAAGTCGGTAACCCGGTTGTTAAGTGGATCTGGCTTCCCCATCGTCTTTGCTTGTCTGAGGGGTCACAAAAGGGGATCACACGATCCCAGGAGACTGCAACCGTCATAACTGCGAGCCAGTTGCCAAGCATCTGAACTTTGATTGTGTCACCTTGGGGGATGCTGCAATGTGAAAAAGGGTCACAAGTCACTTTTTTCAGTGCCGCTGTAACCTCAAAGGGTCACACACACACACACACACACACTGATCCAATTCAGGGGAAGTCCCCTCTTTGGGCTTTAATGGCATGTCCTAGTCAGGTTCTCCTCTTGTCTGCCTCTGCAGCTGGCTGTCGGCTCTGGAGAGCACCAAGTGGCTCCAGCATCTCTCTGTGCTTCTCAAATCAGCCCTCCTGGTGGTTCACGCGGTGGACAGAGACCAGCGGCCTGTGCTGGTCCACTGCTCCGATGGCTGGGATCGGACCCCGCAGATCGTGGCTCTGTCCAAGCTGCTGCTGGATCCCTATTACAGGACCATTGAGGTTTGTGTCTCCAGAACGGGTTGCCTTCGACTTTGGGTCGAGAAGAGGCTTTGAAGTTAGAACGCTTGGGGTGGTGCTCACTGGAAGAAGAGAATTGCAGAGTAAGAAGGTGTTTAAAGACACAAAGATGTGTCCCAGGAGGAGTGAAGCAGGAGGAGACCGGAAGGATTTAGGTTCACGCCAGACATAACCAGAAACGATTCACACACAGCCCTCCTTGTTGCACTAAAGCAGCCTTGGTGTGTTGGCATTTCCCCAGAGGTTTTTTGAGGGGGGTTGATTCCATATAGATCAGGGGTGTCCAACTTTGGCAACTTTAAGACTTGTGGACTTCAACTCCCAGAATTCCCCAGCCAGCATGGGGAATACTGGGAGTTGAAGTCCACAAGTCTTAAAGTTGCGAAGATCAGACGCCCCCCTGATGTAGATTGTCAGAGGTATATTGAGGTTTACGGTTGTCTCAGAAGGCCTTCAGTCGATCCAGGAGCTCAAAAGAGGACGGGCTTGGCGAAGTCACTGCCCTGGGTTTCCCGCAGGGTTTCCAAGTGTTGGTGGAGATGGAATGGCTGGACTTCGGCCATAAGTTTGCAGACCGCTGTGGGCACGGCGAGAATTCAGACGACCTCAACGAACGCTGCCCGGTGTTTCTGCAGTGGCTCGACTGCGTCCATCAACTCCAGAGGCAGTTCCCCTGCTCCTTCGAGTTTAACGAAGCATTCCTTGTAAGTGATTGTTTTTCCCAATCAACAGTTTGAATGTGTTGAATCTACACAATCTGGCTGAATGTCCAGATCACACCTTGGAGTTAAAAGGGTGGCTTCAGTTCATCTCTGACTCTGCTGCTTACTCTGGCAAAGAGAAAAAAGAGTTTTGAGTGATGAGTCGCCGTTCCCAGGCTCTTCTGCCTTTATCTTTGTCACCATCTGTTCTGTTGTGGGTTGTGCATTGTGTAAAAGGAACCTGCAACCTCTGTTGGCAAAAATTTTGCAACTTGCGGGTTCCTTTGAGATATTCCCCAGCAGAAGAACTGTTAAAACATTCGGCTTTGCAAATTCAGCCCAGGCCCCAGTACTATCCTTTCTTGTAGGTCAAGCTGGTGCAACACACCTACTCCTGCCTCTTTGGTACATTCCTGTGCAACAACGCGAAGGAGAGAGGCGAGAAGCACACCCAAGAAAGGACCTGCTCAGTGTGGTCCCTGCTACGAGGAGGAAACAAGGCCTTCAAAAACCTGCTTTACTCCTCCCAGTCTGAATCTGTATGTTCTGGTTTTTATTCATTCTTTATTCTTTGTTTGGTCCCTTGTTTCTTCCAAGGGGCATAAGTCCCCCTTTCCCCCTGTTTGATTCTCACAATTACCCTGAGCAGGTTCAGCAGAGGATGCAGCTCTGGCTGTCAGGACACAACACCGTGAAATCCAGCCAAGTTCAATCCTTCCTTTGCTTGCCCTTAATGGGCAGAATTTTGCCAGACTAAAGCTAAAATGTCTAACTTAATCGATACAGTATTGCAGGCTAACTCACTGCCCACTGCCAGGAGTTCGATCCTGACCGGCTCAAGGTTGACTCAGCCTTCCACCCTTTCGAGGTCGGTAAAATGAGGACCCAGATTGTTGGGGGGGGGGGAAGGATGCTGATTCTGTAAACCTCTCAGAGAGGGCCGTAAAGCACTGTGAAGCGGTATATAAGTCTATGTACTATTGCTGTTGCTACATCCTGAGAGGTTTCTAGAGCAGAGATGGGCAGCTATGGAAACTTTACGACCTGTGGATTTCCAGTTCCCAGAATTCCTGAGCCAGCCATGCTGTAGATCTGTTGAAGTCCACAGGTTATAAAGTTGCCACAGTTGTCCACCCCTGCCCTAGGGTGTGGCTACCCTGAACCTCTTCCTTCCTCCCCCATCCAGACTGCGCAGTCTCTCAGTTTGGGACTCTCTCTTTCTCTCAAATGGACTGCCTCCTCTCTGGGAAGCCACGGTACTCCTGCCAGGATCGCTCCCCCCCATCCACTTTCCTCCTCCTTCTCCAGGTGCAGATTCCATCACACAGACTGAGGTCATCCCTGAAGCCACAAAATTAGTTGGTGGTTTCTTCTCGGGCCTCCTACAGCCTTACCTAATTTATTTCTCTGCATTGGCGCTTTATTTTTTTTATTTCTAACCTCTTTGGAGTGGGGGGATATCACTTTACAGTTGTACCTGATTAGAGGAAGGCAGATTTTTTTTTTTTAAATGGCTAGGACAGACAGAAAATTGAAAACAACACATCAGTAATAAACTATATCTGTCATACTGATATCGACCAGCAGGGGTCAGTGTCAAAATCTCAGTCTCTGTTCGTCTTCCTTAGGTGCTGTATCCCGTGTGTCATGTGCGCAACTTAATGCTGTGGAGTGCCGTGTACCTGCCTTGCTCCTCACCTTCCACCCCTGTGGATGACACCTGTGCTCCTTATCCAGTCGCCGGCTCGAACCCTGAGGATCAGCCTCTGAGCAGGTGAGCCCGGATTTCAGGTGATCCACTGTCCTCTTTTTCACCGTCCATAGGTTGAACCAACAACGTGTATAAAGTGTTAAAACTTGTACTGGTTTGTAGAAAAACACCCTCTTCTATTGCTGCTGTTGTTGCAACTGTGGAATGTAAACCCTGGAAAGTTAAACTTACATATAGCATACAAAAAAAAAAAAACAGAGGAAAAAACGATCAAATAAATTTAACATTTAGGATCCACCCCAGCTGGGTGCTGAAAAAATTGATTTTGCTCATTTATTAAATGTATATGCTGCCCATCTTGCTGTCGAGCGACTTTGGGTGGTTTCCCATGCCATAAATAATAATATAAAACAGTGAAGCAGGTTAAACAGGTTAAGCTAAACTAACCATCCGTTGTTCTCTTTAGCGTGCAGAAAGTCCACCAACGGTTTCCAGCCTCTTCTATAAGAGCTTTACAAGACAGTTTAAACCTTACACTTGATTACTCTCGCTGTTCTTCCGCAGGCTCCCAAAGACCAGGTCCTTTGACAATCTGACCACAGCCTGCGACAGCAGCCTACCAACCCCTAACCGGCGGAGTAGCGACCCCAGCCTCAATGAGAAATGGCAGGAACATCGCCGATCCCTGGAGCTCAGCAACCTCGGGAATCCGGGAGAGGACCTGTTTGACGGCGAAAGTTTGGGCAAACCAGGCAGGACTCTGATGGGAGCAGAGCTTTCGTTGGCTGTGGCCGAGGGGCAGATGGAAAACATCTTGCAAGAAGCCACCAAAGAAGAGGGGAGCCTTGAGGAGAATATGAGGTTTGGCCAAGAGAGGGCAGGGAAGGAAGGAGAAGGGGATCTCACGCGAGACAAGGAACACAGGACTGAACCCCCGGCTGGTTCTGCGACTAACAGCGTTTGTGAAAAATCCAACCCGGATGGAGAAACCTTGTTAGACAATCCAGTTTCTAATCAACAGGTGGTATCACAGGGTGCTTCTGAGCTTCAAGGCCCAGAGGAGGGACACCCAGCTGTCCCTTGCACGGTCCAGAAGCCAACTCAGGGGGGAGAGGTACCGCTTGGCTTTTGGGACAATCCTGGAAATAGTGAAGTTTCACGAGAGGAGGAGGAGGAGGAGGGTGTTAATAGAAGTTCAGCAGAAGCTGAAAATGCCCCCAGCCCTGCCCATCCTATCCCATGTCCTGTAGGACTTGAGGCAGCCACACCAAATATGGAGAGCTCAACAGAGACCTTAACAGAGACGGGAGCCAGGGCAGAAAGGGTACAGCCCAGGTCTCCCCGTTTGCGTCCTCCCACTGCGGCCAGCAGCGTCGACGAACTTTCCCAGACGGAAGATCATCGGCCGGAGAGGGAGGACTTAGTGGACGCTCACAAGCTGGCCGCTGCTCTAAATAGGACTCCTTACAGCAGCAACCCTTCCCCATGTGCCTTGCCTTTAACTGACTTTAAAGAGGTGGTCTGCAACGGAGACCTCGCTTCCGAGAACAAGATGGCCGAGAGCCCGGCGGGCTTTGCCGCTCCCCAGAAACACGCCGCGCCCAACGGGCACTACGTGAACGGGGACGAGATCCGGGCGAAAGTTCCCCTCAGCCGGCAGATCTCCGCCGGCAGCCGCAGCTCCACCCCGCTGCATCTGAGGAACGTGCACCACAAGTGGGTTCACACCATCCCAGGCCGGCAGCAGACGGCGGGCAGCCCGGACCAGCCTGCCCGGAATCACCTGGATGACGACGGGATGCCGATCTACGCCGACGTCATTCAGCAGCGCCTCCGCCAGATTGAAAGCGGGCACCAGCAGGAGGTGGAGAGCCTGAAGAAGCAGGTGCAGGAGTTGAGGAGTCGGCTGGAAAGCCAATATCTGAACAGCTCGCTGCGCTTCAACGGGGAGTATGGGGACGAAGTGGTAAGTACGGCCGTTCCTTCTCAGCACGGCTGCCCTCGTGCCAGTTGCACCGCCCAGGGCACAAACGCAGGACAGAGAACAGCCCCCAACCCAGAGGCTGCACTGGACCCAGGCAGCCCATCGACGGCTTATCTTTTGCTTAGGTATTAAATTTATATGCCGCCCATCTTGCTATCGAGCAAACTGGGTGGTTTACCCTGCCATAAATAATAATAATGTAAAGCAGTTAAGAGATTTTAAAAAAAAACACTTTGCGGGCATTAAAGCTGAAACGTTCAAATTAACCCCCAAGCGAATAAAAAGAACCAAAATGGGGGTGAAGGTAGGATCCTAATGAACTAATGAAATTTATATGCTGCCCCTCTCGCTGTTGGAGCAACTCTTAAGTGGTTTACAAAAGGTTTTAAAAAAAAGATAATATGAAACAGTTAAGATTGAGTTAACTGTTTAACTCACTGTTTTAGCTGTTTAGATAGATAGAGAGATAGATAGATACGACAGAGATAGACAGAACAGATAGAAAGAAAGAAAAGAAAGAAAGAAAGAAAGAAAGAAAGGACAGATGGATGAATAGATGATTGAGGGACAGAGAGATAGAAACATAAGAGATTGGGAAATAGGTATAACAGATGAGAGAGAAATTAGAGATAGATAGAGATAGATGGACGGACGGATAATCTTCCACAGACAGACAGACAGACAGCAGTCTCAGTTCTCTGAGGGAGACAAAGTGTTCCAAAGTAAGCAAGGCTGATAGGATCAGCTTTCCCTCCCAGCTTTTCCCCTCCTCTAATCTGATTGCTCCCCACAGCAGATGTAGAAGATGCCCCGTTCTCGGCTGCTAACCCCTTCCGTGGACTGGGAGTAGGTTATGCTCAGCTGTGTTTGTTTGCCAACAGACTTCAGTGCCCGACTCAGAAAGCAATCCGGATCACAACTGCTTGTCTCGCTGCAGTACAGAGATTTTCTCTGAGGCCAGCTGGGAGCAGGTGGATAAACAGGACTCAGAGGTACAGGCCTCCATCCATCTCCGGCGCCTCCCCCCCCCCCCTTTGCCTACTCAGCACACGGCATACTAACCACGCCGCTCCCTCTGGTCCTAACACTGGTCTCCATAAGCTTTCCTCCTCAACTCTGCAGCTGTCTCAGAAACTTCTCCGTCTCTGTGCCGGTGCCAAAGTCTCACTGCTTTCCGCTCTGCCTCTTTGGGAAGTGACAAAAGCCATTCTGGGATTTGCGCACTTGCCTGCGGAAGGGCGCAGAGCAAAGCAAGCGAGCGTCTGGTGGCTTTCTCAGAGTCAGCTGGGTTTGGGATTTCTGTGCCAGAAGACTCTTCCGAGGTTTTCTCCTCCTGGTCCTCTTCTCTCCTCTCTCCCCAAAGCTGCCGCTTCTCAAATCAGTTTGTCTCTCGCTGTTTTCTCATTGCTTTGATGCTTACCTGTCGGTGTTACATTTGAAAGCAAGGGTTCTCTTGTCTTTGTAGGTGACACGGTGGCTCCCCGATCACCTGGCTGCGCACTGTTACGGCTGTGACAGTGTCTTCTGGCTGGTCAGCAGAAAACACCACTGCAGGTATTGTGCCTCCCAACGCTGCCTGCTTTGTTGTCACCAAGACAGCACTTTGCCATTCCCACTCAGCCTTTCGACCTCTGGCCGACATCCTTCCCTGTTAGAGCAGCTCCCTAGCCAATCGTCCAGCTGTTCAGCACGTAGGGCAACAGACAGATGTTCCTTTCCCGTGCTTCCACCATCCCCAGCAGCAGCAGCAGCTCCTCTCCTGACAGTAAAATAACTATTTAGCTCTGGTCACTTCCCTCATCTAATCTGTTTCTCTGCCCTTCTGGCTTCCGAATAAAAGCGTAACCCTCTTCCGTTGATAGGGCACACTTTCAAATGTTCAGAATGCCTGTATTGGAAATAGGTTCAGGTCCCTGCAACAACAGAGATCTGTATTTTGCCTCCACATTGCAAAGGTGGGCCTGAGGCTGGAGGTAGCTTGCCTGAAGCAGCCCATTGGGTTCATGGTTGAAGGACAGATTGAGCTAGAGCCTTCCTGAATCTCTAGTTGATGAATCTGGTGGAATTTGTATTTTTTAGTAAAAAGATACTGGTTGGGAGGAAGCCTTTATGTTTCCTTATTTTTATTTTTTTACTGAACTGTTAATTGGAAGATCACCTTCCTAGTCTGTCTCTTTAGATTTCTGAATTGGGTTTGTTTGTCTCAATAGTTTTGGCCAACCTTTACTCTAGTGACCTTAGCAACTGTTATTAGTGTCCAGGGCTCTGGACTCCTTGGTGGATCAGTAATGAGAATTTGCCGTAAATCCTGGTTTTAAAAAGCTCACGAAGTCTTCTTAGACTTTGGATTCCACAGGCTAGTTAAAGATAAATTCTTCTCACTGGGACCCCCTGTGTCTCTGCATGAATCCTTGCCATGCCTCTCAACTGGAAATAGGTGAGCTCAGTCACGTAGAGGTCCAGCAGACAGCCTCAGTGGATGGATAACACAGATGTTTAAGGGTCTTTGACCTGAATGTGTTACCCACAGCTCGCAGTGTAGAGTATTTCCTTACAATGCGCGGACAGAGAAGTGATCAATTTCTTTTTTAAGACCATATAATGCCACTCTCAGGCACGTTGGAAAGCCAAAGCCTTTCAAACATTTAAAGCCTTCATTATTGGCGATGCCGACGGAGGTTGCCGGGACCTGCCGCTGGCAACATGTGGCGAGCCACAAGTTCCTCACTCTAGGCCAAAAAAAAAAAACCCCAAAGACCTCAGTGGTCCTTTTTAAAAAAAACTTCTCTGATTTAGTGTCTACTCTGAGCTTTTTCTCCCCTTCCTGCAGGGACCCCGAATGTGTTGATCAGACTTGGTGAGCATTTGCATCAGCCTCTCTTGTCTTGCCTGCATTTCTCTGATCACTTCTCCCCACTAACAGTTGCCTTCCCCGCCCCCCCTGCGTTTCCTTTTCCCAGAAGTCCTAAAGCGCAAACAGCCGAATCCCCGCCTTTTTGTTTTAACGTTGGACGCTGCCAATGTCTTGCTGCAAACCGTTTCCCTTGCAACAGCAGCTGGTTCATGTACACTGCTCCGTCAGCAGATTATTTCGGCCTTGGTCTTCTTGGCATCATGGGCGACTGATGGTAGCTCACAGTTCTTGAACAATCTCTCTCTCTCTCTCTCTCTCTCACACACACACACACACACACACCAAAATCCAGATCTGAAAGCAAATAAAAGAGCTTTAACACCAAGGGATAAAATGTAGGTTAAAAACTAATGCTTGGAAGACAAAGCAGCGTTGTCCATAGGTTCACCTTTGCTAGTCATGAGCATTACCAGGGACTCCGTCTCTTCTATCAGTCCCGACAGTCAACTTTTGGATTTTGGCAAAAGGAAACCAGTTAGTGGGCCCGGGTCCTCTTTGGGGGCAATGTGATATTTTTGAGATACACCCAGGTAGAATTTCACAAATGGCCTCTGCTTCTCGAAACATCTCAGAAATAGGCTCTCGTCCCATCGCAGGAGATTCTGCTCTGATCCCTTCCAGACTTGATCTGCGATGCCGTTTTGACAAAAGAGTTGTTTTAGGATTGCTTTTGCTTGGGAATCCTGTTTTTCTTTCTCTTTTACTAAAGTTCCACTCCTGCTGTTCTTGTTTTGTTTTTGCTTTTCTTTCTAATACCAGAGCTTGTTTGAGTCCATAAGAAAGCTTTGGAATCGCTTATCCCCAGCCTGGTTTGACTTTCCTAATAGAAAGATTTCAGCTTGATATTTGAAGGCTGCTTCAACAGGTGTCAGGGTGTTGTTGTTTTTTTAAAGGCTCCCTTGTGCTTGCAGTTAGATTACGGATAGCATAAACAAAACCACAGCCAAGTATTAAAGTTTAAATCGAAGGGGGGGGGGGAGACTTGTTCTGTTACATCCTTTCCTCTACCATCACGAAGTTGCCCTTTCATTGCTTCTGGTGACCCAGACGAGGCGCAGGTGCTCGAATGCCCCTGCTGATTGACCACTGGCCCGTCGGTCAGCTGCTGCGTCGCTCACAACACGTGGACTGCATCTTGTTTTCCCTTGCGGCTTGCTGTGTGACTTTGCATGGCCCTGGCAGGTTCACGTTCTCTGGGTGCTGAAGCCTCGGCGGGCTACACTGTTGACTCCCTCCGAGTCCTAACGGCTTCTCAGGCAAGGTGATTTGCTTGCCGTCATCAGGATCAGCTGGTGTTTGTGTTGGGGAATCGTCCGGAGGCCGACACTTGAACCTGGGTCCCATTGCAACCAGCACAGGCGTTTTGATGACTCAAAGGGGGATTTGTGAAATGGGCTTTTTGTTCACCCCTTCTGCTCCCGACCCTTGCAGGGACAGGCCCATCCCTGAAGGGAAGGCACTCAGACCTCTACTCCTGGGGTGATTCTCTCTCCAGGAGGGCTCCTTTCAGCCTAATCCTAATGGAACCGTGCTGTTCTTGCTTCGGAATTGCTTTCCTGCATTGCAAACTCATGCTCGTGTTTTTTCTTCCCATTTTCTGACCCAAGGAATTGTGGAAATGTGTTTTGCTCCAGCTGCTGTAACCAGAAGGCGCCGGTCCCCAGCCAACAGCTCTTCGAACCCAGCCGGGTCTGCAAAACCTGCTACAGCAGCTTGCACCTCCCCAGTGGCTCCAGCCTTGAGCTCGAACTGGACAAGCCCATTGCGGCCACCTCAAACTGAGGCTCCAGCCTGGAAGGAGAGCTGGGAGGAGACAAAGCCGCCTTTGTCCCTTGAGGGAAGACACACCAATTTCCCGGTGGACTGAAGCTGGTAGGATGGGAGGAGCTGTGCACTTTGAGCTGGAAGTACAGGTTGCTGCTCGGAGGGGAGAGGACGATGGGTAGATAGATCCTGGCGGAGCTGTCCTTCCCCACTGTTACTACTCCTTCCCTTCCCATCCTTCTCATGTAAATTTAGTGTGGATTTTGCGGGAAGGCCGTGAAAGGGGTCTAGTGGTGGTGGTGGGGGGGGTGTCGCCCTGCCCTACCCTGCCGTTGAACTGCACCGCAGGCAGGCTGCCCTCCCTTACCGAGAAGAGGGGAAGGTGAATTGCCAGAGAGATTGTGAATACCTGTAGCATTAGGACTAGAGCTTTCAGTCACTCCTGTGACTTCCCAGCAGCCCCTTTGCTGTTTGGAGAGTTGTTGCTGCTAGGAGAAACGGAAACGGCCTTCTCAAAGGGACTCCCCCCCCCCGCTCTGTCCTGTAGGGTGGGCTGGATTGTTCCCGTCGCCCGAACGCAAGGGGTGGGTTGCCGATCTCCACACTGGGCACTCCTCTGTGGCCCAGGGCAGAGAAGCCCGGGTCACTCGGCTAAGAAGATGCCTGCTGGCTTTGAGGGAGGGGAGAGGGGAAGGGGTGGCTTTAAACCAGCACACACACACACACACACACACCCGATGTAAAATTCTGTACATCCATTTTTATTTTTATTTTGTAAAGGAATCGGTGCCTAGGCTTGAAGGCAGCTTTTAAAATGCCTCCCCTTGCCCCCCCCCCCAATTTTAAACCTAGTTTACACAGAAAGCAGAGCTGCTTCACTGCACTCGGTAGGCTACGTGCAAACATCAGGTGGCCGCATAGCATTGAGGTGTCCTTTTCACAAAACAACCCCGTAAAGCTAGAGTGGGATGGTTTTCCTTTGCTCTAGAGCTGGTTAGGAAAGGTGGGTTTGCTGGTGCCCCCAAAATGAGGCGTTGGGAAAAGAGGTGATTTGGCCAGAGCTGTTTTCCTCCTGCTAAATTAGCTTGGTTAATGTTGCCCCATAAACCTTCGATAGAGTCCTCCTATTTTTCTAAGTTTTGTATTTTCCCCCTCTTTCTCTCCATAAAATACTCTCAGTTTATGGTTTTGGAATGGGAGGAAGAATTATAGCAGAGAGTTTATAATCTGCGATAAGACGCCTGAATCCATCCAGAATCAACTCTCTTCTTTTGGTCCTCATCTGCTTAGATCGGTACATGCAATTCCTTCCTTTCTGCGTCACCACACTTCAAACACCTTCCATACACCACCTCTGCAACATTAGTTTTCACGCAATACAGATCTACACACTGTCCTTGAGTACCAGGTGGGAGGTCCCCGCACCCTGAACTGCCATAAGCTCACAATCCTGGCACGAATAAAGAGCAAGCTACATAACAGAAGGAACAAGAAACACAACAGCTAAGCTGTTCTAAGCATCTGTGCTGTAATAACTAGACTGGTTTAGTAAACCTGCTTGCCGAGGAGAAAATAAGGAAAGTGAAAGATACATACGTTGTAAAGAACAAAATAATACAGGGGAGACATGGAAAAATAAGGAACCAAATTCCAGGAAGGCGTAGCCAGAGGCGCTGCCTCGTTAACGCAGACGGGGTGTAATGTCTTGGCACTCTTTGTCTTCTTCCAACTGGGAGAACCGGTACAAAATTTCAGTGTGGATTTTTTATTTTTTCATAAAGAACGGAACGCTCTGGGAAAATCGGCAGAGGTGTACAGTTCCAGGTTGGGAATGTGGAAACAGGTTATTGAAGGGACATACAGAACGCTGGCTAATCTCTGCTTTTCCAGTGCCAACTGGGATGCAGCGAGACATTTTAAAACAAACAAACAAAGCAGAATAATAAAGGGGAAATGGTATTGTGTGATGCACTGAGCCAGTGTGATTTTATGGTACAAACAGAGGGCAAAAAGAAGGTCTCAACGTTCAGTGGTTCGCAATAGGTGCCAAGTGGTTCCAATACGGGTTTTGGGGGTCTGTGATGTACAGTGTGAATAAAACGCTTGCGGCTCTTAGTCTTTTGAATCAATGAAGCACTTTTTTATTCAAATTTCCTCCCATCGGATGTGAAGCAGGAAACCCGGCTCTGTGTGAAAGTGTGTGTGTGCGTGTGCGCGCGCGAGCATAGAACTTCTAAAGGAGGAGCAAAACTACTTTTTCATTTTTTGACAGACGTAGTCTTAAATACTCTAGAATGATTAAATATATAAATAAAAGTGAAATAAACTTTAGAGTTTGCACACCGGAACAATTGTTGAGCTACTTCCTAATTTTTATCTGCCCCAATCTTGTGCTGTTATTTCCTCCTGCTGAAATAGGTCAGTCTCTTGCTCAAACTTCTCTTAATTTCAAGGCCATCACATTTTAAAGCTAACCAGGGAAATTTATTCTCCTAGACAGCTATAAAGAAATGTTCCTTATATTGCTTGAAACCTAGACCAGAGTCCAGTGCATTTGCAGTTCTGGAACAAGTTAGTAAATCTTTAGTGGGAGTCAGTTACCTGTTAATGGTCCCTATTAATTTTCTTCCTTGCAAAGTTGGCGGAATTTAAAAATTTGGTCTCCTTCTTTGTGACTGAAGGCTGGGGAGGATTTGAATCAGTTTCCTGAGAATGCTGGATGTGATTTGAACAGGCACTTTGACAAAGCTAAAAACACTACAATCCTCATTTGTGAAGAGACAATGGTATGTCCTGTATAATGACACCACAGCCTCACTTTTCTGTGTTCCCAATCAATTGTGCTAACCATACTTGCCATAGTTGGGTTTCTCAAGCAATATAATTCATATTAATAAACCAAGAACTCTTAATGGCCTTTTCTTTTTTCATTTGTTCTATCTGGCAAGTCCTCATCTTGTTTAAAACCTTCCTTGGCTGCCTCCTCTGCTCAGCCGATTCAGCGTACACACTTGGGTGAGACTTCTTATGAATGTCTGGGCCTGGCAGAGATTTGCATGCCGGAACCCTGCAGTCATTTGGAATTCCACAAAGAGGAATACAATCAACATCTCCAGTTTTTCTGGATTGCCAGTTGCCAGGAACTCTACCTGGCTGAAACATGGCAAGTCATTGAAGTGGAACTGCTGCTGAGCCAGGCAATTGGAGGAGTTGTGCCGGGCTTTTGTTGGGGGGGGGGTATTGTTTAACTGGGGCATCATGGGTTTCTCTTGTTACGACGGTTTTAAACTTTGTGTGCTGCCCAGTATCACTGCTGTGAGAACCAACACGCCAGCTAGCTCCCAGATGAGTAGATGGCCACCAAGGGCTCGCACATCATGAGAAAGGGGGTATAGTGAAAGACTGAGCGTTCGCAAGAAAAGTTATGCTTCATACAACTTTTGTGACCCAATTCGTAATTTAGCCTAGCAATTTTGTGTTGGTTGCTTTTGAGCTGTTTTAGAGCAATATTCTATTGTAAAAATTGTCCTTGGTACTTTTTGTTTTCTTTATAAAAACATTGGAAAAGCGAAGCTGTTCTGCATCCTGTGCTCAACACTAGCCAGTCAGGTATTTTTGGGCAGCTGCTCCGCCCATTCTTCTCCTCATACTTGGTGTCAGTAACTCAACCATTACGACAGGTATCCATTGATATTTTGGATGTATCTAATCCCCTTCTAACTTCAAGACTGTACTAGCCCTCGCTAAACAGAGGCATCCATTTCCCATCAGCTCAGTAAAATTTTAAAAGCAGGTCCCTGCAAGCAGAACTTTCATCCCCCACTATCAATATCTGCGAGTAATTCCAGTAATTTGGAACTTGGCTTCATCGGCAACAGCTCACCACAGGAAATATTTATGGAAGTTTTCATGGTTGATGTCTAGATAAAGGGAATGCAGGAACTCAACTCTGAAAAGGAAATCAACAGTGGATCTTCATGAAAAAAAATGCGGAACATCGTTAAGACAGAAGAGTCAGAATAAAGTTTATTTTTATGGAAATTAAGGTATATCCTACAAGAAAAGATCTATTGCATCAAGCTAAACTGTGTCTGGTCCAGTATCAGCAAGCCCGATCATTTTTTAAAAGAGTAAATGCACTATTATTTGGTGTCCAGTTGTCTCCATTTGGTTACTATAGTTCACATTGTTGTACCAATTAAAACAAAAATGAAATGGGGAAAAAAAATTGAGCTGCTTTGAGTGCTTCATTACAACGTACTCTGTGGTTTGTATCTTTTGCTCTAATGCTAAACAGAACTGGCTGCCAGCAATTAGTTTATTAATTACGCCAAGTGTCAAATTTGTTACTTGGAAGAAAAAACTAGAGAAGGGATCCTGAAGATACCTTGGTCTGAGCCTGGATTAATTGTTTGACCCCTTAGAGCAGGGGAAATAGCTTTAACGAACAGGAAGTTGAGGCACTACTAAAGCAAAGGCCAGATAAAAAGAGCCTTGAGAAGGGGCCCAAAAGGCAATGTGAGAAAACGTCTCGTTCTAGTCCCTTCCTGGTTCACACCAAGGTTGGGGGAGAGAAGCTTATTCAGAACTGCAAGATTCTGTTAGTATAGCTTTACAATCAAAGTAGTGCTATCTTTCCAGGTCCTGTCCCTTTCAGATGTGTTATCCTTCAACTACCATCACCTAGTGGACAGCCTGACCAGTGAGACGTACGAGTTGGAAGTCCAGCACATTCAGAGAGCAACAAATGGGAAAGATTGCTTTAAATTCTATATTTAAAGTTGAGTGATTACACTCTACCTACAGTACTGTTTCTACCTTCAAGAATGATTTGAAAAGTCAGTAAAGAAAACTTGAGACTCTAGGAGGCACACTTCTCCAGGTCATGTCCTTCCCCAGATGGCTTCTTTCACGTTCATAATTCTTTGCTACAGTTTTCCTCTCAGAGAAGAATAGCCATCATAAACCAAAGATTGATCCAGAGAGACTGCTTTAGAGCTGTAAGAACCAGCCTTCTCTTCTCTGTCCACAAGGCAGTCGTCCTCCTGACACCACCTGCGGAAGGTAAGGAGAAAGCCACCTGTCTTCAAATTAAAACGGCGTTTCCCAGTTTCAGACCCCGTCTACCTCAACATTGCTTCCTGTTGCTAAAACGTGATGGCGCATCCTGGATACCGAGTATATTGCAGAAAGCTTTGGTGGCATCTGCCCTGGCAGCTGAGCTCTAGAGCTTAATGACACATATCAGAAAACTGGATAAACAAAGCCAATCATTTTGAGCTGCTGTAAACAAATTATCGCGTACCCCAGCGGCCCCCAACCTTTTGGGCACCAGGGACCGGTTCCATGGAGAGAGCTTTTTACACAGACTGGAGGGGTGTGTGGTTTCGCAGGCTGCCTGCATCCCATGGATGGAGCTTCGCTTGTTTGCACAGACCGGTTTCTAGCATGACACGCACCGGTGCCGGTTCAAGGACCAGGTGTTGGGGACTCCTGGTGTACCCACTTGTTAGGACAGAGGTGAGTGATTTTCCCAGAGTCTAGGAACGGAACTAGTTCTCACAACCAGTTAGAAGGCTTCCTGTGTCACTGCAAGGGTGGACTCAGGGAGGTTGACCAGGGAGGTTGTTTGGAATATTGGGGAGGGGGGGGACAGACCACTCCCTTTTTACCTAACTTGCAAGCTGGAAATTGTATCATCTAAATTTTGTCCAATTTCAGTAGAATAATATTGGGCCTGAAGGGGATTTTAAAGGGGGGAAATGGCAGCTGCTGCCATCCCCGAATTTGATTCCCATTTCCATCCTTAATGTTTAAAAGGCGGGGAGGCAAGGGGGAACCCAATTTGTGCCACTACAACTCACACCTAGGTTCAGGGGTGCTGTGGGGGAACTCATCGTCCCCGCCTGCACTAAGGCTGTCAGCTGCTCCTTGCTGGATCTAATTGTTCATTTTTCTTCTCCAAACTCCAGTCTCAGTTCTCTGGCCTCATGTCAGGTGCTTGTCCTATTCAAGCTGCTATTTCTCAATTTTCAGAGCAGCTGCTGCAGCCATAGAGCAAAATTGTTTCCCAACTTAATGTGTGCAATATTTGGGGTTTCTCAGTCTTTGCTTTGATATTAGATTGAATGGGTACCTCTGAGCAGCGTAGATATTTGTGGCTGATGCACCAGCCCCGGTGGCGTGCTCCAGCAGAAGGACTCCTGCGGGGAATACATGCATAGTCGATTAAACATTTCTGATTTGCTTCCTAATGAGATCTAATGGGATCTACCCTGTAACCCGAATCGTCTCGGCACTTGACCACATGGAGAACTCTTTATTGTGGGCAACAATTTGAAAGCTCCTTTTAAAGTCTTCCTATTAATCCTCATTAGCAGCATTCCAGGAACCGCTTTCTCAAAGGATTCCTGCTTGTTTTTTAGCCACTGCCAAACTTGATTTTAGGAGAACAGTTCACAGCATGAGCTGTGGAATTAGAAAAGAACCCCCAACATGTTAAATAATGCACAAGAACAGGACACTGCTTCAGATCCCATTTATAGAAGACAAGACTAATGTTATTGATCTTAAGTTTAATCCAAGCTCAAAATCTGTGGGTTTCTCTGCCTCCCTGATCGATTCAGTTTTGTACTGTTAAATTTGATGTGGTTTTTTTTATTATTTCTAACTGTAGCACAGTACTACCATCCTCAGTGCTGCACATACCACATGCTAGTTTTTCTCTAATTAGCTTGCTTGCCAACAGTTGCAGAACCAGAGGCTGTTCGGTTTTCTGTCTGTGCCATCACTCCAAGAAGAGAATCCTGTTTTTTAAAGCATTGCATGCATACTCTGAATGCTGCGTTGGTTTAGAGGATTCAAAGTCTCTCTGAGCAACATTCAACAATTTGAGATGATTTTTGTGTTGAGCAATTACCTTCATAGATCCATGCCAGAGAATAGGCAAAGTCTCTTGCTGCAATTTGCCACTCAGCTTCTCCCTTTGAGTCCATTCTTAGAACAAACTGCTTGAGTTTTTGCAGATTATTCTGAACTATTTGCACAGAAGTTTGCAGTTCGGACTGTCGGGTAGCTGCCTCCAATTTGGCCTGCAAGGAAACCCCCAAGTCACAGAACAAACACTCATAATAACTCAAATCACCTCGGGCTAGCAGAAGAAATTACTCAACTGCTACTTCTCTGGAGATAGGATTCTCTATTCCCCCAAGACTGTTGCAAAAAAATAAGGATAAGATTAGTGGCACCTCAGAATGAACTGGTTATACAAGCATCTGTGAATCAGAGAAGAGGGTCAACCTTTATTCCGGCTAAGGACTGCATTGGTCTTTTGAGGGTTACATACCTCAAAATTAGTGGATGGGACAACTGATGTAAGAAGTGGTAGTAAATTCTGATTGTGCTACTTAGAAGACCAATGGGAGATGATGAACAATCTTATAACTTAATCCAGTCTTTCCTCAAAACACACAGCAGTTTTAGAGCCTGTTAACCTGGTTGGTGCTACTTTTTGTGCTATCCTGGGCTTTCTAAGGCTTCTGTAAAATGCACGTTGCACCTCCTTTTTCTCTAAAACCTCCCCACTGAAGGCACTATAATTAAATGCTTGACTACGAACAAGATGAAATAAACTGCAAACTACAGAAAAGTGAGTTCTGAAGCGGCAACAGCAGCACATCAACGTCAAAAAATGCCGCCTTAATTTTACACGAGGCTGACTGAGCCTGTTGCTTCTACTAGGTGCCTCTCAAATTTTAACATTTATCGGTGGTGTGACAAACTCATTTATTGGTGTCTGCAGAAAGCTTACCTGGGCAGTGGAGAAAAAGACATCCAGCGCTTTTCCTTGGCTCTTGAGAATGCAGCGCAGAACATCCAGGGACAGGATGTTAGTAGTTCCCTCCCAGATTGGTAGCACCTGGGGGGGAAGAGAGGCAGAGCTGGAGAAGCAGATGCCAGAGGGACAACTTTGAGGAGTAAGTTGGGCTGACCGAGGATAACAGTCCCAAAGTCTCCCAATAGTTCCCATGGTTTTCTGGGTCTAGCACCATAAACACTAAAGAATAAGGTATTTTCACATTTCTATGAATGAATGTTCTGCACTTTAATGTGTCCTTCTCACTAGAATTGCTTAAAAATAAATCAGTTCTCAGTAATGACCTTGGAAATGTTATTTTTTAACATTTTCTTTTGTAAGTGAATCTGTTTTCCAAACAAACTTGGAACATCTCCAAGTGTTGTGGAATGCCACTATTAACGTTCTCAAAGGTAAATATTCCATTTAATAGGCTTTTAATTTCTTTACGAAAGAACTTTCTGAGTATTCAGAGGCCTGAATTACTTTTTCCCCTTCATGATCTCAGAAGTCTGCGATAACAAAGCTTAGGAAGAAAAAGTGAAACAAAGGAACTAAGGTGCAAATTTGTCTTCCTGTTTCTTCTCTAAAATAGCAGCAGACTGCAAGAAGGAGTAAGGAGATGGAGTAAAAAAAATAATGAAAAAGTCCAGTGCTTTTTACCTGGGTATCCCTGAGCAAAACAGGCAGGCCTGTATCTTCCATGAAGCCCTGTCCTCCGAAACACTCCAGGCTTTCTGAATTCACAGCAACAGCCTGAAACGCAAACTGACTTGTTTACACATCTGACAAATAAGCCGGGCTGAGAGAAGGACAAACAACAATCCACCAGATACATAAATGTTAGAATCTATTTTTGCTCTTGTGCATTTGATCTTTAAAGACATCTCAGCCCGCTTGGCTCGAGGACTCGGGGCCCTGCCTGCTTACGGTCTTCTGCCCAGTCAAATATGATCAGAAGGAGCCCGGCAGCCCTCCTCTGCCAAGCCCGTTCCGTTCAAAGGCATCTGCTTTCAGGAGTTTTTGACAAAAACTGATGCCTTTGGAGAAACATTGTTGGGGAAGAGGGGCTGGCAATGGTTCCCGATTCCCTGATCCCTAGACTGAGATGCCCTCTGGGCCAGTCTTGGGAACCGCTTAGCCCACGGAATCAAAGTGACCCTGACCTGCTTTGCAGTGTAAAGCTTAGCGAGAGGAGTGAGCAGCCTCAGCATGTGCTTCTCCTGCTCCGTCGCCATCTTCGTTTCTTCCAGGCCAAGCAGTCTCGCGAGCTCCATCACCAGCAGGAACGC